AACAGATATAAAACAAAAACCTCAAAAGACAATTAACAAAACTAGGATCTAATATCCGTAAATGTATACTATAGTTTTTACTGAAATATAATTTTTCTCTCTAAAATCACCCTCATTTTTATCAAAGATAGCCAAATTAAAACTAACTAGTTTGCGAAATAAGTCTAGTTCCAATAAAGTTGGCCCAATTATTTACATAAGTACAGCAAGAATAGCAATTGATCACATAGGCTCTTTTAAATCTGCTTTGCTGGAACTTTTTATAAGGAATCTCAGATTGAACTTTAAAGGCCTCTCGAGGCCAGGAAAGCCAAGCCAAGGATTTTGTCATCCAACTTCGCCTGTAATACCTACAGATTCGGGTGAATTCCTCTCTTCTGAGGTTCCCCCCAAATATTTCGAGGTTCCTTGTACCTGCCAGATAAGTGACATTCTTGACTTATCCTGGTAAGTGCTGCTTGGAACATAAGGTACCAGGCCAATATTTCCATGTGGCTTTATTCCATAAAGTCCAGTCTTCATACCTCAAAAGCTGTATGGCTATATTGCAAATATGATCTTCCAGTCACAGCCTTGGTAATTTAACCAGTGTTTCCATTTGTGTTCTGTTATAAGGAGAACAGATTCTTATTGAACTTACGCAAATAACTATATTACCATGAAAACAACAATACTCACTTACTAAGAGTTTCCAAATTCAAGGGATCAGATAGAGAGAAAAAGATAATTATTTCAATTTTACTTACAAAAGTATCATTTACCAAATTGTTATAAGTCATAGCTAGCTCAGGAGAAAAGAGAAAAAATTTTCCTTAAATCTGAAAAAACAAAACATTAAAAATTCAGCAATACTTCAAATGAAAAATCATAAAAATTATAATCATCCTTATCAGTTCATTCAGTCCTGTGTAATCCATTCTTGATCCCACTCTTTTTGTTAGCAGCTTCATGAAGTTATCAGTCTCTCCATCGGATTTCTGTAATTTCTTACCAAGTTCAGTTTTATGATCAGAAAGTTTGTCAGAAACTTGTGTTCCAGTGTAAATGTCAGAGTCCTTTCTATGAATTTTTTTGAAGTTGAAACATTTTGCAAAAGCATTAGAGCCAAGAAATAAGTCTGTAAACAAGACCTCAAAAATGGCAATTGACAAAGAAATTTGGTTAATTTTGTGACATACAACACGTTAAAATAATAACCAGAATTATGACTGATAACCAGGACAGATCAGAATTTCAGTAATGTTATACAATTTTAAAACACCTATGTCAATAACATTTACCCACATAATACCACCTAAGCAGACTTATCATCACTCGTCTGACAATGCTGTCCATGTAATTTAACATACTGAATAAGCCTAATAAGTTTAGTATCTTTCTCCTTATAGGAAGAGAGCAAATTTCTTTGAGAAGTTCCAGG